TAAAAATACACTTAATTAGTTGAACTTGATCCAGACAACTTTTAAAAATTACCATAAAAATAAATAAATCCCCTGATATCCCCATTTTGCTAGCAATAAATAGAAAAAAGTCTGAATTTAAATGCTGGCTTTGACCCCTGCTCCTGGCACAAAGTTAATGTGGGAAAAAAAAAAAAAAAGAGAATCCAGTATGTCTTTTATCAAAAGTCAATTCAAAGCTCAATATAAAGTTCAAACCTTTTGAAGCATACATTATCATTAAGATGAAATATTTAGTGGCTCTGTATTCCGGTCATCTTTTGACAATAACCTACAATGTCTCAGAGGTGGCGGGTGCTGGAGTATTCAGTCAATTATTAAAGAATATCTCATTTTTCAGGAAGAAGGGCTGAAAACTGCTAATTTGTATTAGCATGCCATCGATTAAATTGCACCTTCCATTTTAAAGTCCTGTACAAATTTCATAAACGTTAAAAATTTTAGCTGCTTTGAATCTTTTACAGTAGCTTTATAAAACCTTGAAACATTGCTATTTAATAGCCATCTTTTGCCCCAGTGAATGTGTTTAACTCTTTGTCCTGCAGACACATTATTCACATTTTTGGACTTCATGTAACGTTCTTCAGAGATAAGCTTGTCACAAATTATAGCTACTAATAATGTTTCAGGCTTCCCTATGTGATAGTTGCAAGGTGACCGCAAGGTTGGAGTAAAATTAAAGTAGACCTGTTCTTACACTATTTTTAGATTAAAATCTCACTAATATTTAATATTTTAATTTAAGCAAATATTTTAAAAGTAAAGCTCTTGTGATTATTAAAGGAGCACTAAAGCAAAATGGAAATTGGATTGCTAAACAGCCCATCGCATTCACATGAATATGCACACAGGCAACATTACATTTGCCAAGAAAAAAGCTTTCAAGTGCTTATTTGTGTTTGAAACTCTACCCATGGAGCTAATTCACAACACGCACTGGGCAGAAAAAAAAACCAAAACTTCTCCATGGGGTTTTAGAGCAGCACTCAGAGCAAAAACTGCTCTGAGACTTTCAATATCATTATACATTGTGTTACGTTTCCACGAGAGTTTACCAACCAAATAGGATTAGGCTGATCTGGTACCAAGGGGTAAGATCTTTGGGCAGCCCTTCCACATTTCACGTCCACTGTTACCAGCCGTGCATACAAAGAGTGTCTTCTGCATGAGTGGTCCCACTCCATTCAGCAGGCTAAACTGTGAGAGCCAGCCAAAACTGGAGCTGGTGGTGCCCTTGCAGGAGAGAGCAGTGGGAAAACCTCTGCCTCAGAGAAGTACATCCCAGGTCTCTCTGGCTGGGAAGCCACAACCTTGGACACCTTTGCCAGATCTCCTGATGAGTATTAAGGGCTTGGGCTGAGCAAGGCTCTGTCACCTTGTTCATTCCCTTCATCTTTCTTTTCTGTGATGTCACAGAGAACAAAAGAGCAGCTAGTTTGCACTTGCCTGAATAGAAAGTTCTGGACAACACATGCCATACTTGAGAAGATAACCATAAATTTAAAGAACAGATCATTTCTATAAACATTTCCACCTAAATATATGCAGAGCAAAACATTAACTGAAAAGGATGGGAAAGAAGCTGAAGTAAACTTACAAAACTAGCTGCATTAACAATGGAAAGCTTCTTTTTTTCTTTTTTTCTCTTTTAACTTCCTCTCCTCTGGCAATAAGGTTCCAGAGAAACCAGCTTCAGAAAAGGAGCAAGTGAACAAGTGCCTAGTGACTAGACTTACACTGGAAATAAGGACTGCTAAGATGAGATCTAATGCCATTTTGAGGCTGACTTCACAGAGGAAATGAACCCTTTGATTAATATTTGACTGACTGTTTCCTTGTCTTCAGTGGCATTTTTTAGTCTGAGAGCAAAATCCAGATTGTTGTGACAATTGTGAGTACAAATTAGTCAGTATTTATAAATCACTTGGAAGAAAAAGTACTATTGCTGATAATTATGAAATTGGATGAAATCAGCAAAATGTGTTGCATGGGAAACCAGTTGTTTCCTCTTCCTTTACATCTCAAAGTTGGAAACGCAGAACTGCAGTAATCTGTTGGTGATGCAGGCTCTAGTACTCCAGTCAAGACTGTTGGACTCCATACTCCTACCTGAGTATTCACATAATTTTGCCTTTCCAGTTTTGTACGAATGTGAAGACAACTGACCCATTTGCACAAAATGTCAGCAGTTTGAAAACTTTGATGAGTTTCCCTTTTGCTCACCACCACCTAAACCGCACAAGAAATAACTCTGTATGCTTTGGTCTGGAAAAAGTACATCAGATGACTCCTGGCTTCTTAAATGTATAGTTCACATATCAGCTAACCCATATTCCCTTAAAAATACCAGCACTTGACTGTGTGGAAATGAGGGTAAAAAACTATCAGGGAAGGAAAACCTCAGGCATCAGCTTCCCTCGGAGCCAACCAGCCACACCTGCTCACGTACATGTACACACGTACAATCCATGCTTTTCACAGTGGGGTTTTGGTTTGTTTGTATTTTATTTTATTTTATTTTATTTTATTTTATTTTATTTTATTTCTTTTTTTCCTTTAATTTTTCAGTTAAACTGAGGTTTGCATGCACAAAATTACAATAGTTCTTTCTTAGCCGCATGATGAATAAGGGCCACTGTTTATATGTTTGGTCTTGAGTGACGAAACATCGGTACTAAAATATTTAAGAATAACCACTGGAAAGAAGGGATAAGTTTTTGGTTTTAAACATCTGTTTTAAAGTGATATGAGGGAGTGAAATTAAATTTAATAATCTTTCTTCCTTCCTCTGCTTTTGAAATCATAAGACAATGTGGTAGGACATGTGTTTCAGATCTAGTGTGGTATTTTCAGATGTAGACAATTCATTATCCGTGGTTCTCCTTTTCTGCATAAACGACGTTTTTTCTAAGTACAAAATTGTCCCCAGGTTACACAACACAAAACAGCATTTGTGTATAATAAGACATTACCTCCACCTGCTATAGACAGTGTTTATTCTGCACATTTTGTTTTCTCTGTTGGATTGCAGCCAGCGAACTCAATAGTTTATTGGAAAGCAAAGGATCTTACATATCAAATTGTCCAATTTATTTTACGTAAGTTTAATCAACTGTCAGCCCTTTTTCAAGGCAGTAGAAGGGAGGTTCTTCCATGCTTTTTAATGACTATTTCTCCAGTGAAAAATTCATTTTTAATGTCTCTGTCATATCCTAACTCACATATATGTGTGCTTAAATCAGGCCACAGCTACAGGACTTCTGCACGTACATTAATCATGCACTTGAAAATGCTCATCATTTGGGCCAACCACCTGCTCGTTATGATTTACACAATGTTTTCTGAACAACTTAGATTATACTTGTGCCCAGCTTTATGCCTGTAGCTGTATGTTTCAGGTCATCCCCCCTTCTTGGACCAGTAGATCAGCCTAATCAGAAGAACTTTACCACACAAAAGCTAAATCTTTTGACTGACTGTCCATTTAAATCAGTCAGTTGAGTACAAAGCAGCAAGTGACATAACATTTTTTCTCTCCAGTGCAGGACAGAACTGTGCTTAATTAGGCATTTAAGAGAGACTTAACTTCTACAGTTCTCACCACACATGTTATTTTCAAGCAGCTCAATGATCTGAAACACCAATTAGTTCCCATTCACACCTATTATCCTCCTTTAGTTCACTGTTAATTCAAAGTCCAAATTCCCCTCCTTGTCAAAAAGTGATAATTTTCTCTTTTTGTAAGTGTTTCGTCTGAAGTTCTGAAAACCTTAGTGCCAAATGCCATTACTTAAAGCTTCATAGGGATGCCTTATACCATTTGCCAAGTTTCCTATTTTCATGTTTTTATGCCCAGTATATTCTCTTGCTTCCCCTCCATTAATGAACACATTGTTTCAACGCCTTTGAAACGTACTCTCTCTTCAACGTTCTTTCTAAGCCATTTATAGACTATTACAGGACACCATAGTGACACCGCCAAAGGGGACTAAGATGACTACAGTCTTATAAAACACTGCAAATAAACATGCAATAGACGTTAAAGCAGAAACGTTGAAACATCAGGTCTCCCCCTTTCTCACACATCGCTAGCCATCCTGCAGTAAGATCAGAAAAAACACTCAGTGCTTAATATGAAAAAAACAGAAGCCTTCAAAATCTACATTACTTAAAGATACTTACAAAAAACCCAGAATCTCCATTTTTTATGAGTTAGCTTTCAGATATTCTCATATTCACAAGTCAATAATCCAAAGGGTGAGGAATATTCTTAGCCAGGTTTTTATCATATGTGCTTATCAGCCTATAAAATCAGTGATATCTACAGGTCTATGGGCATAGCTTACATTAGTCCCTTATTTGTTCCAAATATTACTTAATAGCTGAAAGTAATGGCGGGGGGGGGGGGGGGGGGGGGGGGATATATATTTTTTAAATAACTCCTCTCTAAGGGAGGAAGGAGGAATAACTTATTCCTTAAATACGCCTTTCCTCTGAGTATCTTTTCTGCAACTTAAATCAGGAGGGAGGAAGGAGGAATAACTTATTCCTTAAATACGCCTTTCCTCTGAGTATCTTTTCTGCAACTTAAATCAGGTGACGCTCCGAAGAAGAATCAGAAAAAAACAACCAAGTATCAACAGGAGCACTTTAGAAATACATTTGTTACTACAATATGCCATTATTTTTTCCTTTTGAATACTAATGCTCGTAAAATCTGATGACTGATTATCTTGACTGCACTTAGTAACTTTTGTATTAGTTTATTCTACATAATCATAAAATTGCTTAGCTGTTCCTTAGTTTGTGAAAGCTTATTTTGGATTTTGTGAGAAATGTAAGAGGTGGGATGACATTTCAAATCTCCTGCTGATGAGATGGCATACAAGAATTTCCCATCACTACCAAATAACTTTCCCTCCACATATAGTTCAAGGTTACTTACCTGTACAACAGCTGACGTTCTTTAATACACACTGCCTATACAAATTAGCATGTTGCACATACTGCTTCCAGCTGCTGCAAAACAAAACAAAACAAATCAGTTAAACATTAATCTTTTCAGTTAAGCTGCCAATTTTGCAGCAATGTTGCTCAAAATATGTTGGAGTGCTTTTTCTCAGTCCAGCCCACCATCAAATCTCTACGCATTTCACATCTATCTGACAAGTTTCACATGTGATTCTCCTTATTATGGTGACAGACTGCATAAAAAATTATTGTTTGTATTAAAAAAAAAAACAACACCCCAACAGTTTTTCCCCAAAAAGTGGAGAGACAGTTCTGCACTTGATGATGGGACTTTCAGAAAAATATGATGTGAATCTGTTGGTTTGGCTGGAAATCTGGAACTACCTCTGATATGAACTATGGGCATGTCTTATGTTGGCACAAATGTAAACCTCAGTTTATATATATGCATGCTATATGCTACTGCCAAACAAAATATCTCCAAGCTCAGTCTTTTAAGTCTCCTGCACACTTGCAGTCAAATGAATGTATGAAAATCACTCAAAGGAAAAACTGAATTTTCCTTCATATCAGCAACTGAGAAATCTAGCGTATGCAGAGAGGTCAAAATTTGTAGGTCACTGTGTTAGAGACACAAATAATCATAAAATCATAGAATCATTTAGGTTGGAAAAGACCCTTGGGATCATCGAGTCCAACCATCAACCCTACTCTGTTACAAAGTTCTCCCCTGCACCATATCCCCCAACACCACATTTAAATGACTCAAACACGTCCAGGGGTGGCGACTCAACCACCTCCCTGGGCAGCCTATTCCAATGCCCGACCACTCTTTTTGTGAAAAATTCTTTCCTAATGTTCAGTCTAAACCAACCCTGTTGGAGCTTGAAGTCATTCCCTCTCGTTCTGTCACTAATTACCTGCGAGAAGAGACCAGCACCAACCTCTCTACAGTGTCCTTTCAAGTAGTTATAGAGAGTGATGAGGTCTCCCCTCAACCTCCTCTTCCTCAAACTAAACAGTCCCAGCTCCTTCAACCGCTCTTCATAAGATTGATGCTCCAGGCCCTTCACCAGCTTCACTGCCCTCCTCTGCACTCGCTCTAGCACCTCAATAATAACCCCAACACCAGATGAAATCTAAAAGCCAGAATAGAATAATTCCAAGGTGGACTAACCACTTGAGGCAGTTTTTATTTAGATTTATAGAACTACCTTCTCATACAGGTTTTCCAAAATGGAAAGGCTAGACAATGCAGAGTAACTGCAAGGAATTCAAGTTCCAAAAAACTGTTAAACAAAACAGTCCTTCTCTACATGTGAATTTGCACAGACCCTCCACAGCATTTGAAGACACCAAAACAAAGGAAGAATAAATCTTGCCCACAAATGTAATTAATAAATTTCATATTTGCATTAAGGCAGTGAACAAGGATTAACAAAAACCAAGCAAAGCACAGCTACAAGTCATAACCATGTCTCCAAACCAACAAGGAATGTAACTCTGCTTGCTCTGCCAAGGGTTAATTCTGGGTATCTCAACAGCACATTTTCTGGAGATTTTTGTTCCAGATTGCAGTTAAATCTGGCCTATCACCAGGGATTCAGCCTCTCAAAATCAAGGATGTTCAACCTCTAAACAGTCACAAATGCTCAGCTTTTCATCTACAGTTCCTATCAAATATAGAAACATCTTTCATATGTTTAGTTTTTACACAGATTTCAGTACTCCTCAAACTTATTTTAAACCATTTCATAGCTATCCTTCCTGCCTGTTAAACACATCAAGTGCTTCAGTGCCAGCTGGTGTCAGAAAAGAAAGTCTAAAACCAAAAAACATACTGCTGGCTGTCTCCTATCCTTGCTGGCACCCACTGCTTGAAGACAGATTAAAACACTACTTGTAGCTTTTCCAGCTTTCCTCAGACACCAGAATTTTATAGTAGGAGAGGCAATTTACAATACTGCTCTTCGGCAAGGGGCATTTTCCGAGTTCCTTTCCTCAGTTCTATTATGACCTTCTAATCTGATCCCCTTTTGTTTGCAAAACAGCTCTCCATGCAGAAAACTTTTTTTTTCTTTTAAAAAAAAAAAAGAAAGACAACTAACAGGAAAATGAAAGATGGCTCCAGAGGACTTCATTTTTTTATTCTCTTCTGGTATGACCAGCCAACAGAATTGGAAAAAAAATAAAATTGCCTTTATATTTTGTGTATTCAAAACTTTCAGCAGATTTATGCATTCAATCTGGTACTGTCTCCACCTTCCCTTTCAGCTCCCCCACACTCTTTGTTCCCTCACAAAGACCAGGCTCCGACCACAAGCATTGGAAGAGATGCTGCTAAATTTCACCACCACATCAGATTAGACAGAGGAATACAACTCAGTGTGTACAAATGTATTATAATATTGAGAGAAAAAGAGAGATTACATAAACATTGCCAAACTAACATGCCTGAATTAAACCCTACTTAGGCATTTAGCAGAAAAGACAACTAAGAGATGTCTCATTTACTGTATACTGTTTCTATTGTCAATACTATAATATCTTACAGTCAGCGTGACAATTGCCCTATAGGCAGGATACAAACATTTCTAAAACACTCAGATTTGCATTTTGTGAAGGACCTCTAAATGAAGACTATGCATTTTTTAGTAAATTCCTACAAGACTGGACTGTTAGGCAATAGCTCTATGAAATTTTTAATACAGCAGTTATTTATTTTCAGTTATTATTTTTATAATACAATTGTATTATTTTAAAAAGTAACAAATTAGATTAGAAGATACCAACTCCCTCTGTCATTCAAATTTTTAAAAATACCTGCAATGCTAATCTGATTAAAAGAACAAGGTCCAGTTCAGTCAATTTTAAAACAAATATGTGGAACAATATAAATAGATTAAAAATTACCATATGCAAGTCTCCTAATTTTACCTTCTAGTAGTAAAATTGAAAAATTTGCATCTAATGTAGCAGTTATATTTAATACAAGCCACGTGTCCTTTCTTACAGTAAAATGTTTAGTATCAGAACTGAAATATTTTCATCCTATTGTTTTTACTTTTAAGAAATACCTTGTATTTTTCATCAAATGGACTACAAATAAGTATATAAATAAGTGCATAAATAACATTGATAAAAATAGTTGGAGCTGAATAAAAACATCAGTTCATGTAACTGGTGCTCATGACTACTACTTTTATGAGACACAGAAGCATTAACTATAAATAAATGTTTTAAATGAAAAATTCAACCCAAAGCATTATTAAAACTTTAAATACAATGTCTTTGGTTCGTTTTCATTGTTGGAACAAAAAGAAACAATAGTAAAAACTTCCACTGGCTATGCCCATTCTGGCAGACAGTCTACAAACCAAACTAATAACTACTTCACAAGCAGTAAATGTTGAACTTACATAATAAGAGCACTTTTGGCATTGCTCTAGTTGCCCTAGTAGAACTGCAGGTTCTTCCAATCTCAAGACTCCTGGATACAGCAGGATACTTCTACACTTCGTGGCTCAGTTCCATCCAAATACAGCTAACTAAATAAACTATCCAAATCAGCAGAGTTAGTATACTTGTGTTATGGAGATACTCCAGCCAGGCTACCTTATCTATCTGAGAAACCAGTTCCAGTATTTCAATAGGCCAATTTACGTCACTTTGTAGACAAAACTAAGAGTGAGATCCAAGTGAGGATGCAGGCATCTAAAGTAAATTACAGGACAATGCAAAGGCCTGCGCACAAAATAGCAAATTCAAATCGAGCTGACACCTAATCATCAAGATAGTTAAACTTACCCAGGCAAGAAAGAGCATTTTTAACCTTTTCAGCCTATTTTTTTAGCAAAAAATTCTTATTTTCAGGGTATCAAAAAGAGAGCCATGAAACATAGCTTCTATAGTATTAGCTACAATATAAAAAGTCATTAAAACCCTACAAACTTAAGAAAATAGGTTGTAAATTATTCTCTGTTGTTTCTGGTATTGGTATGCGGACAATATCTCTTAGCAGTGGCTTCTGAACTCTGGATCCTGAGTTGACAGAAGTGCCTACATACAGCCAGAAACAGGTAATAGAGGAGAAAGGTTTTTAAGTATATATCACTGTACTCACTATTGTCTAATTTCCAGCTCTAGAAGCCCTCTGCAAAGCCACACAGGCCCTCAGAGGCTATGTCTAAACTAAATGGAGAAGAACTCCCAAGCTCCGAAGTCTGCTTACATTCTTCCAAGGTGGCCTTTCATGCAGATGACTATTCTGTCTCTTCCCTCCTGCCCCCATTTCATAGTTGCCAGTGATGGAAACCTTGCTGCATAAACATAGTTATCTTTCTAAGGCACTTGGATCTCCTTGCACATTGTATAGCAATACTAGGTGTCCAATTTTGGCCCACCACTTATCCGGGCACCCAAAATGGAAGAATTTTAGAGCCTGATTTATATATGTCTTAGTACTGAATCTAGACCTGCAAGCGGTTATATTGCATACACAGTTACACACAGCCGCAGCCAACTTCACAATCTTGTTTCATCTAAAAGAAACACTATAAATGTGCCACACTGTAAAAATCAGCCTGAATTCCAATCTCAATCTGGTCATGTAAGCAAAGATTAGAGTGCCTATTTCTGAGCCAGTTAAAATAAAGCAAAGGGGGGCTCCACAGTCACAGAATAAAATAACACCAGTCCTGCAAATTCAGGAGTTCAAATTCAAATTGTTCGGATCTAACTTGAAATAATCATTATTAGCAAGGCTAAAAATTAAAAAATAAATATTTCAAATTTTAACTCAGAGAATGCTCCAGTAAGGATACCTCAATGAAAGTGACACTGTCAAATTTTTATCAGCATGGTCTTTCATAAAACCTGCCTCAAAGTACATGAAACAAAGAAATTCCAAACCAGGAACAATGCTTTGTTTTTTCCCTCACTCTTTTCAAGTACCATTTCAACACTTTGAAAATGAAAACACAGCTTATTGCAATAGCTGCTCGTAGTTACTCATATTTGCTGTTGTTAAAATATCCAACTTTGACAGA